GCTTTATTAGCCACACATAATTCCAATCTACCTTACATTAAACTCTAATTGGCTGTTACTTCATTACCCAGTTTTTACACTAATGTAGCCCTTAATTCCTGCAGTCGAGTCTCTTAGTTTAGACTTGCTTGGTTTTCATAGTGCAGTCGAATCCTCAAAGCGTAGTCCAAGCTTTTTAGCCTATTGCAGTCCCATCAACACTGTTGTCCTCTATCACCTGTACCTGTAGCCCACCTATTTAGAAAGATGATGGTCTGACCTCCGATAAATGGTAGCGTCAGAGCTAGCACAAGTTCTACTACACTTATAACTGACATGTGGAGCTATGAGCCCAGAGATGACTTTAATCGTTACTCTAAAACGCTCTTATTATTGTCCAAATGCTAATCACTATTACATCCCACAGATTGGGAGTGCATACTGAGTGCGACTTCTTAAAAAGCATACAAAGGCAGTACTAACAGTATATTAAGTACAGGCCTTAGTAAGCACGATTACTTGAATAAGCACTTCTAGCATAGGCATGAAGTTAAATCGGCATCATCTTAGTGCGTACAGCTCCATGGATAGAGCTGAGAGCGCGGAAACAATGACAAACGCATCCTTGCTCCTGACCCCAAGCATGTACTTACCCGAAATACTTAAACCCAGATTCACACTCCTTGTTGAGACCAAGGGGATATGATCCCTAGCGTTGGCTAAATCAGCGTCACCTCTGATAAATGATAGCGTCAGTGCGAGCACCAGTACTGCTAGACTTCCTGTCGTGATTTAGGGGATATGAGCTTAGTGCTGACTTAATCAGCGTCACTTCTGACGTACAATACAGTCCGTACCAGTAGCAACAAGTACCATCACTAAGTTACACCCTAGTACGTAGTATTAGAAGTAAGCAGTACCAGTCTTGGCTCACCTAAGTCTGGCCAGACACCTACTATAGGTGAGTGAGGATAGATAGCACAGTAGCACCCGCGCAAAGTTTACTGTCACTTTAAGACTAAATTAGGCGGTGTATTGGCATGCATTTGATACAGCAGCCTACGCCGGACCCCGTTCAGTCTTCGAGACTTCGGGAGAGGGGAAGAGTGTGGCGCCGCTAACTACGCCTGTGTCACTTTAAACTAAATCCTGAGACCGTCACCTCCTGTACCAACCGGTTGGTGCATTTGGTTGACCTCATCGAAACCGATGGTCAGACACACACTAAAACTTTACACAATGCAGCGTGAATTGTAAGCAAGCAGATTGCGTTGTTTCTTAATCGTGCAGTGATAGCTTGCCATAAAGCAAAGTGAAAGGAAATTGATAACAGATAAGCAGATCCACCTCGTCGCATCAATGGGCTGCTGATCACGGCTTCGACTTCACACACAGCTTGTAGGTGTCTACGTAGGCTTCTCCTCGCGGTGCAACCAAGCTGATTTCGTGTATGACCTTGCCACCGCGTACCAGTCTTTCGCGGACCCAATCCAATTCTTTTAACCATTTGTAATCTGCTTGGATAGGACTGAAGAGAGGGCTGCGCTCGACAAAAGCATACCTCTTCGACAGGTCGACACAAGCTACTGTCCGTCCCTTTAAATGACTCTCGTAGGCATGAGACCAAATTAAAGAAGTGCAATTTATGCTCCCAGGGTAAGTTTGCAGTGTAAAAGCAAAGGTGTTTCTTGGCGTTGGAACCCAGGTTTTGTAAAATGGTCTGAAGAGCAGTGGGAAAACATCCGACTTTGGGTAGCTGTAGTATCGTCCATAGGACGGTGCAACTTCAGTGATGTGGGTGACGTTAGACAAATAGTAATAACCAATGTCAACAGAGGGCCACGACCAATTATAGCTGCTAAGTTTGCGACTGCCTTCAACATCCAGCAGTGTATTGGCTGGCACAATTAATTTTGCAGAAATCTTGTCCCTTTGACCACATTGCTGGATGGTATAATTTGGCATGAGGGTGCACATCTTCTTCCACAATGCTGGTCTGACCTCCCTGTCGACAAGAACATCAAGGTCATCGTCCCAGGGAATGATATCATGGTGC